GTTCTTCAGATGATCTCTAAATTCAGATGGGAATATATTCAAGATGATGTTTTGGCTCTTGTGGACTTGTTTTAATTTTCATCAGCTTCAGCATGAACTCCCATATGAGCAATTGATGATCTGTTCCATAGTTTGCCACTGGCTTTGTTTTGGCTGATGATATGGAGGTTTCCCATCATCTCTTTCCACAGATGTCAGTTTGATTTCTGTGTATTCCATCTGGTGAGGTCCATGTGTATAGTTCTTTTTTATGCTGTTTAAAAAAAGCATTTGCAATGAACAAGTCATTGGTCTTACAAAATTCTATCATGCAACCTCCAGCATTGTTTCTATCACCAAGGCCACATTTTCCTGCTACTGATCCTTCTTCTTTGTTTCCAACCTTTACATTCCAATCGCCAATAAAAACAGAGACAGTGTCCTGGTGAGACACTATGCCCTGTCCCTCTACAACAAAGACCCAAGAAACCAAGTGAAACAGATACAGATGAATAATCCTGGGACTCTGAGAATCAGTGAAAGAATAAAGAATTAGGTTAATCACCAAATGGAGAAAAAACAAACAAACAAAAAATCTGTGATTGAGGAGACAGACAGAGAGGAATCCTGGCACAGTGTGGCCACTTGGAACATAGTAGGCAACATAAATAGATAAGGAATAGCCATCTTCACAGAACCCCCAATAATACATATATAAGTGAAAAATCCAGAATGAAATGAGATGAGCAGAATATAGCTGGATCTAAAAAAGGAAAGTATAGGAAAGCAGGTGAGATCCTGTAACACAGGTGACCGCAGTGAAGGGATGGATATCATTCATCAATAGTGGTCCCCAGTCATTTGGGTTAGGGGTCCATGAAGAGGGAAAGGCCTGTGAGGTAGTGGCTGGAGACACTGGATTCCAGGATGCTTTCCCTTTCATTGAGTTGGGGAAGTAACTAGGTAACAGGTTACACTCATCCAGGAGTGTACCAGGCCCACAACAGTGACTAGTGACTGGAGAAATGTGCTCTTATACCTTCCCCATAACACCTCTTGGTGACCTGGGTGAAGCTCCTGACCAACACCAAGCTGGCACACAGTGATGCACCCCTACCACCTGTCCCCTGACTGCTTGTACCACCTACTCCTCCTCTTCTGCAAATGTCCCTTGCCCCAGTGGACCATAACACATGGACTATGCATTTGTTGCCTGTGTGGTTAGTGGGGCATGTTGCCGTGATTGCTTATTACATTACTGCTACCTCTTCAGCTGGTGTGGTCCTGTGGGTCAAGCTCACTGGCTGCTCCTTGGAAACCCTATACAGGGTCACTATGGGTCGGAACTGACTCGATGGCACTTAACAACAACAGTAACCTCCTCAGCTGGAGTGTGTGGGGAGAAAGGGTTCGCTCATATGAATCATGTACCTGCTTCCTTCCTTGGTGGCCAGGGCCACTCCTCCCATTGATAGTGCCACATCTCAGTTTAATCCAAGGTTGACAGCATATGATCCCATTTACCACATACTGTGCGTACACCTCTGCATCATTTTTTTGGTGGCCAGGGGTTGCATTCATGCAGATAGTGTGCCAAGCACCTGCCACTTACACAATGGGTGTTGCGCATCCTTATATATAATGTGCTGTGTGGCTGCCATTTTAGAATCATGCTTCCTGCTGCTACACTATCTTTTTATTTTTCCTGTT